TAAAAAAAAAAAAAACATAAATGACCGCCTGCAAATGTCACAACAAACGAACAGAACTGGGAGAAACACGCTGGGAGAAACATTTACAAGCAGTAAAATCAGAGTTAGAAATGTACATAAGTGCAGATAGTGGATTATCTTCTCTAGGTTGTGTTTTACTGGAGCACCATTAAGGGGACATTCACCGTAGCATCCAGATAAAATTTTTCCTGAAAATAATATTTCCTAGTATTGTGCTTGTCATCATTTAACAAAACAAAACAGTGAAAGGGAAAAATTAATTTCTTGTTATTTTGCATTTATTTGATTTTGCAATATTAATCTTTCTATTGAATATTAATCCTCAGTGCACTCAGAAAACAAATATGAGAGGGAAAGGGAGAGTGGATGATGTTCGGTTGGCGTAGATGGGTCTTGAGTTAAAAGCAGGAACACATTGTGAGGACTTAGGGAGTTCAGTCTTTGAAGCAGCATGTGTTGAGCAGATGGTCACGTACTGTACACCCCACACTATCAAAGCTTTGGGGTCAAAATTATATTTATTTTTCATATAACGCAGTGCTTTCCTCTGGAGTGCACAATCAGGAACCAGGGGCCAGATTCACAAAACATTCTTTCGTGAACAAAAAAGTTTTCTTAACTGCCATTTTCTTCTTATTTTTTAACGTGAGAAAAAAAGTTAAGAATATGTTGTATTCCCAAAAATTCCTCTTCTTTTTTTCTTCTTAAAAATCATCGTAAATAACCTCCTAAAGTTAGGATAGCCCCAGACTTGTCTTAAATCCCAACTAGTAAGAATGATTTAGTTAATTTATTGGGTTATTTAAAATTAATTGTTGTATTTAAGCATTACAAAAACACTAGCTACTGTAAGGGAAACATGTCAATTTAGCTCAAAGGGAATTATTTTTTATTTTATAGGGAATTTGGACAGAACACATGAACACACACATTCACACAAGTTGCAGAAAGAGAGAAAGTGAGGAAAGAATGAGTTTGAGAGAGTGAAAATGTGAAATCCCAAGTTTATAGCAATATGTGCAATTGCTTAGACCTGAACAACCATCAATCATTTAATTAACCCTCGCATTGAGTTCCTCAATGAGGCTAAAATTTATATTATTAATGCACCAGTTCAGCTAGAATCTGGAGGTACTTGCGTTGCTTGTTTAGGGGGTCCCCTTGTTGTCCTCATTGCAGAAAGGGGTTACCCAAGTTTGTTGATTGGCTGGAAGTCCAGTTGTCGTTCAAAGTGACGTCTTGGGAAGCCAATGGTTGGGTGTTGGCTGAAGATTTTGAGGCGGTCACAGACTCGAGGTGAACTCGGAGACACTGCGTTGCGGCAAAACTTAACTCAGAACACGAAACTCTCAACGGAAAAGAAAAGAAATTAAAGTAAAAGAAAGAAAAGAGTAAAGTTTGACAAGACAAGATTCGTTTCTCCGAATTCATGGGCAAAAAGCATGGCTAAAAGCCAAAGGAACGGCAAAAAGCATTTGATGGTGTTTGAAAATTTTATGGTGTCTTGAGTTTATAAACTGGGCTCTTAGACACATCCTAAATGGTGTCTTGACCAATTAGACATTGTCTTAGCTCGGGGTGTTACTATGTTTCTCCTCCCAATACATAAATCAACATGTTATCTTATCAGTCACATGGTCCAAATTTTCCCGCTCTTGTAGAGTATAATTTGGATATGATTTCTATAACAAGAATATAATACATTTTACAAAGTATTGATTGATAGAAATATTTAAAGCATGACTTTTCAAACTCATACATACCCAACATGAATATAATCCTATAAACTGTTCAATAGTTATTCAAAATACATACACAATTATTGATTAGAACATGATAGTCAAATGTGTGGTTACAGATATGGAGTTAAGCAATGGACTGATATTCATTTATAAGTCCTTTTGAGATCATTTTGGTGCATCTACATCTGTAAAAGACAGTCTCTCTGTCGTTCTGTGAATGTGAGGATGTGCTTTGTGAGGAACAAAAGTTCAAAAGGTCTAGAAGGAGCCTGGTCTTTGCCCTGGGTGGGGGAAACCAATCTGAGGAAGTCTTTAGCTCATGATTTCTATCATAGATTTACATGTGATGGTCATGCTGTGCATCTCTTTGACCATTAATCTTGGTTACTTGCCCCAACTTTGACAAACTCCTTCCTGAGTTGGAATTGTCAATAAGTGTTCTTTTGTTTCAAAGCTGCTAGTTGGTGGCGCCAGGGTATCATGGACAGATTTATGACGTTGTCTGGTTATCCTGGGCCTCTTTGTGGAATTTGGCTCTTTGGGTGGTTCCAAACATGTTCTGATCGAATCTTAAATTGTCTGATTCGCTCTGATACCCTACACTACATATAATACTAGTAGGACTATTAGTAGGGATGTGCACAAGTTTTCTGAAGCGACGCAAGCGACTTTTTTACTGTAGCAAAAGTTAGCAAAAGGTATGTGCCAACATGAAAATACCAACAAAAAAGTTCTAGGTATTTTTTTTAAGATAAACAACTGTTTTGGATCGCCAGCTTGATGTAAAATCATTTGCCAAAACCAGCACTTGGGCCCAGAAAAGGGGGGTCTTCCATAAACATTTGTCCCAGGGCTCTGTGAATTTAAGCCAGAAAGGACAATTGTGAGTGACAACTTTCCTCCAAAAATGAAGGAAGAGTTGGGAAGAGACTCCTCTTGTTTTTTTGTTTTTATTTCATTATTAGCCTGCATAAACTTTACAATCATGAAAGACTCAACCTTCTCACTATTATTTTGACAGCAGAAATAGTCACAAATGTCAAAAATCCAACTCACTCAAAGCAGGATAACAAATTACTGAGCAATTATCTGAAGACCCCATTTCCACCACATTATTTCCTGTTAGCCATCAGGGGCTTTGGACTTTAGCCAGCGATGCCAGTGAGTGAAGTGCCTTCATTAAAATAAGCTGGACAATGGTCAAACAGCTACTATTCAAGCTTCCCAAATTTAGCACAAAACACAACATATGCATGCACACATACTTTTGGGATTATAACCAACGCTGGTCAGTAAATGCTGCAACAAACGCATACACTAAAAATCATAGCAGAGGGGGCGACAGTATGCTTCCAATTCTAGCAAAATTTGATTAAACAGGTGAGTGCTGAAGATTGCCCGTGGGAAATCATTTAATAAGGAATGAGAAGGACGAACAGAAGAAGAGCCAAAGACAGGAAGAGAAAGAACAGAAGTAGACAGAGAAAGAATCAGTTGCAATCACACAGAGGACACAGATGTACTGTAATTGTGGAAGAGAATATATTATGTAAAGATGGTTTAAACAAGGTCAAGATCTTAAAGACAATGGTGTTCAGAATAGCTGAATGATGGAAGACAAAATTATGTAACAGGATGAAGTCTATTAATTAAAAAGAAAAGTGGATTTTCGCAAATCAGGATGGAGTTGATGGAAATTTATTGACGGAAGTTGAAACAATAGTAAAAATGAGTGTGTGACTCATTAATATAAGTGATGTAATTCAAATATCTGTTACGCCCCTCTTGTTTGGTTGATACCATAAAGATGAATATGTAAACATAATTACAAAAATTATAAAGTAATGCCAAAATTAAGCTCCTGTTTTCCCTTCAGAGTCTTTGAATATCCTCAGATCTAATGAAAACCCAGGAGAAAGAAAATAATGAAGCTTTAATCTCTTTAAAACTGTGATTATAAAGTTTGTTTTGCTTCTCATAAGATTAGAAGTCAAGAAGTATCAGCCTGATACTTAAATTATAAGCATGTTTTTAAAAGGGCTTTAGGGTGCAACAAAACATTATATATATATATATATATATATATATATATATATATATACACACACACACACACAGGGGTGTAACGATACACGTATTCGTATTGAACCATTCGGTACGAGGCTTTCGGTTCGGTACGCATTACAAACCGAACGATTCGTTGGAGTAATCCTATTACACTTGGGTAAAAAAAGAGCTTAATGTGAAATATAATGTACCCCAGGTTGTGACGGTGAGGTACTTCATTAGAGTTTTCCCTCTTTTCCTCGCTTTTATTCGCTTTTAATTAGCTTGTAAATGCTTGTGCGCATTTTACTTTCACTTTCGAACTAGAGGCATGTCAACTGATTGAATTGACAACAACAAAACAAAACAGTACAACAAACTCACTTACATTAAACATAGAATGTTTCATTTATTAACAAAACGAATACAAATACACCATGCTATATCCCTAATATAAAATAACAAATAACTTACACAGTGAACAGTTTAAATATAAAACAATGAAAATCAGCAAAAACGGTGGAACCAAATAAATAAGAAACTAATGTTAAAAAAGCTTCCAAAATCATCTTAGATAAACGGCAAAAGTCAAAAGGCCTTCCAAAGTCTAAAATATTTTAAAGATCATATGATACTAGTTTTAATCAATTTTTTTTTTTTTAAGTAAAAATCAAGGAAATTTGTCTGGCATTTCTTTGTTTTTGCTGTATCGAAAACATACCGAACCGTGACACCCCTATGTCGTATCGAACCGAACCGTGAATTTTGTGAACCGTTACACCCCTAGCAT